GACCTAACACCCTCTCCTGGACTCACACATTCACAAACACACAAAACAAAACAAGACATAAACCTTAGTAATAACATTTTCAGAAGGACCTTTAGAATATTCTGAAAACAAAATACCCAAGCTTATAAGAGAAGCAAGGCAAACTCCAGGACCATAGGACACAGGAACAGCCTGCACAAGTCTGGACCGCGTCCCAAAGTGTCAGATGGAGACAAATGACTCCATTGCCAACAGGGACACCACAATGGGGCAGGGGACAAGGATTTTTTTTTCTTTTTTTTTTTTTTTTAGTGGGGACCAATTGCAATGTCTCTGAACCCTGGCCAGTGAACAGTTAATTCTGTGCCAGTCCCTCAATCTCCCAAAATGTGTGACTTTCAAAATTTTGCTGACAAAGGATTGAGTGAGTTTAATTCATTGGGTAATAATGTTTTAAGAGTGGACATTGGAAACAGGACCTATGTAACCCCTGTGATCTCATTTCTGCTCACCTCCTCCGGTTTCACCATCTGTGGTGGTAGTGGAGTGTGTGTGTGTGTGTCTGTGTGTATGCACATATATGTGTCCCTGTGTGTGTCTATGTGTGTGTGTCTGTGTATATGCACATATGTATGTCTCTGTGTTGTGTACATGTGGGTGTGTCTGTCAGTATGTATGCACACGTGTGTCTGTGTGTGTGCATGGGTCTGGTTGTGTCTGTCCATATTTGTGCACATATGTGTGTCTGTGTGTGGGGGTGTGACTATGTGTATGCACGTGTGTTTCATCTTGAAACAAGTCGGAATCATCTCAGGTGAGGGAAGTCAGGTGAGGATAGGCTTCCATCAGATTGGCCTGTGGACAAGTCTGTAGGGGCATAGTCTTGATTGATGTGAGAAGGGCCAGCCAAATATTGGCAATGCCATCCGTGGCAACACAGTTGATCTTCAGGAACTACGAAAACAAGTTTTTGATACTTTAGACTCCTTGTTACAGAAGTTGAAGGAGTTCATTAACCCTTTCAGATATTCACTGAGCACATACCGTATACTAGGAGCTATGTTAAACGTTGGGGGGACTCGGGGTTGAACAAGTGAATCGCTCCACCATCAAGGAGCTCATTTCCCACTGCAACACGGTGATGTCTACTGAGTGCTCATGCTACAACCCTGATAGTGAGTGAGGAAACGAGACAACGCATAAAGAAGTAAATATACGACGGTGTATAACAGGTAACAGTAACTTCTTTAAAGACAAATAGAGAATACGGTAGATTAACAACAGTCTACAGCTGTGTGGATCTCCATCCCCAGAGCCTGCTGAATACATTGTTTTTGTACATCAAAAGTGACTTTGTGGATGTCATTGAGCTAAGGATTACCTAGGCGATTCTCATGGGATCACACCCTTCCTTTTAAGAGGGACAGAGTAGGTTCCAAGTCAGGCAAAGGAAAGAAATCCATGAATGAAAAGAGAAAGATTGTGAAACTGCTGGCTTGGAAGATGAAAGAAAGGGCGAAGCCCAGAAGCACAACATAGCTCTAGGAGCTGGAAGGGTCACGGAACAAGTACCCGAGAAAAATAGGAGGTTCCCTGACACCTAGATTTTCTTTTGGATTTAGACAGAACTGCATGTACCCATGCTGATCTTGAACTCATTATATGGTCAAAGAAAATCCTGACTTTTGACCCCCTCCCCTTCCTCCACTCCTTTGCTGGAGGCCTGGAGTTACGGTGGGTCCTGTCATGTCCCAATTTCTGTGGCTTTTGTCCCTGTGCATGCTACGGCACACACATGAGGTCAGAGGACAGGCGTGAGTCATAAGGGTGAAGTGCACAGGATTTGAGTGGGAGGCAAAGGATAGAAAGGTAAGTGCGGAAGTAGCCTGCTCCAATACCCCTGTCCCATTGATAGGACCCTGTAAGCTACCAGTTCCTCTCCACCCCCAAACCCTCCTGTCCCCTGTGACCTCAGAGGAGCCCTGAAGCACAGGCTGCAGTTGCACAGAGGGGACCAAGAGAGAAACACTGAAGCACAGGCTGTGAATGCAAAGAGTGGATCAAGAGAGTGGGCCAAGAGAGACCTCAGTGGCTCCCTCAGACAAAGGCAACACAGCACAGAGTAGACCAGAACAGTTCCCAAAGTCACAGACAGCCACTGCAAGGATTGGACCAAGAGGCAGATACACTGCTGGCACCAATGGAGAAAGAGATGGGTAGGCGACAAGGCAAAAACTCATTCAACAACCTAAAAAGCAACATGGCAACACCAGAACCTAATGGTCACACAACAGGAAGACTTGATCATCCTAACCCAGAAGAAGCAGAAAAAAACAATTTTAAATGTAACTTTATGAGGATGATGAAAACCTTTAAAGAAGAAATGAAAAATTCCCTTAAAGAAATGAAGGAAAAGACAAACAAAAAATGAAAGAAATCAAAGAAAACCAAGAAAAAAACAATCAAACAGGTGAAGCAAACAGTTCGAACAGTTCAAAACTCGAGGATTGAAATAGAGGCAATAAAGAAAACACAAGCCGAGGGAATTCTGGGTAAATGAACAGGAACTACGGAGGCAAGCATAACCAACAGAATACAAGAGATGGAAGAGAGAATCTCAGATGTTGAAGATACCATGGAGGAAATAGATTTATCAGTCAAAGAAAACATTAAATCCAACAAATTCTTAACATCCAGGAAATCTGGGACACCTTGAAAAGGCCAAATCTAAGAATAACAGGAATAGAAGAACTCCAGATCAAAGGCACAGAAAATATACTCAACAAAATGACAAAAGAAAACCTTGCCAATCTAAAGAAGGATGGCCTTATGAAGGTACAAGAAGCTTACAGAACACCAAACAGACTTGAGGGAATGGGATAATCCAGTTGGGGGAAGGACAGAGAGGGAGAGCAAGGAAAGAGATTTTGATTGAAGGAACTATTATGGGGCTAGCAAGAAACCTGGCACTAGAGAAATTCCCAGGAATCCACAAGGATGACCCCAGCTAAGACCCTAAGCAAAAGAGGAGATAGTGCCCAAACTGGCCTTCCCCTGTATTCAGGTTGGTGAATATCTTAAAGGTCACCATAAAACCTTCATCCAGCAGCTGATGGAAACAGAGGCAGAGACCCGCAGCAGAGCACTGGCCTGAGCTCCCAAAGTCCAATTGAAGAGTGGGAGGAGTGAGAATATGAGTAAGAGATCAAGACCATGATGGGTACAACCACTGAAACAGCTTACCTGAGCTAATGGGAACTCACCAACTCCATCTGGACAGGGACTGAACCAGCATAGGACCAAACTAGACCCTCTGAATGTGGGTGACAGTTGCAAGGCTGGGGCATACTGAGGGACCTAAGTCCCTGCAGACCTGGCATATTGGAGATTATGTTTGGAAAAGATTTGGCAACAGCAAATAGTTTGAGCCTTGAGACCAGAGAAACCCTCCTGTGCAGCGCACAACGCCTGTCTGCGCTCTATGCGCTACCATACAGTTAGCGAGCTTCCGAGCTTCGGGCAAGGGGCTGGAGGTTGAAACACACAGAAACACACAAAGGCAGAGAGACAGAGACACGGACCCCTAGTCAATGGTAAGAAGCCCTCTATTCAGTAGCACCATGGAGGCTTATATACCCAACAGTCAGGTGGGCCAACAGGTGAAAACCTTATCCTCTGATCCTCAAGGCCAAGGTAACACGTTCTCGTGAAGCAGAGCAGGTAAATAACTTTGACACAGCTTTCAGTAACTCAAATCAGAAGGAAAGTAAAGATCTCTAGCAGGGAAGCACAGCTGGAGGCCAGGACTCCAAATGGTCCCAACACTCCTACAACTAGGTCTTCTGACCAACTCTGACCAGAACAGAGTGTGGATTGGCTTTCTTGGGGTGAATGGAATCTTTAGGAGACCCTGGCTTTAAATCCTCCTTCAGCACCTAACTTCCCCTACACCATAGCAGTTTGAAGATCTTGCAAATCCCTCTTTAGCGTCTAGTTCACTCTCAGTTTCTGGTTGCGATTCTCAGTCCTGACCAAATACTGGAATTACATGTGGAACTGTGTCTGAAATCTGAATGCCATCCCTGAAGATAGCAATTTAATCGTCTTCAAAAGTTGTCAGGACAACTGAATTAAACAGCAAAACACCCCCAGGTAAACATGCAGTCACAGCCGAGACCCGACCCTAATGTCAGAAGGAAGCTAAAGGTGAACACTGAGGCCTCATTGCTGAACAGTGGCCGTGTTTCACCGAACAAGCCCTGCTCTTTGCGGTCTCTCAAAGATGGAAAAAGCAGTGTCAGATACAGGCACAGTCAAGGCTGAAGAGGGGCATCTGCGGAAAGGCTCTGAATAGCTACACTACACCAGGGGTGTGCTTGCCCTTAATAGTAACTTTGTAAGATGCACGTTTGTCTGAGCAAATTAGGAGTTTGTGGATACTCCTAGGCAGGGGCACAGACATAGTTATAGAGGTAACGCAGCTCAGCTATCTCAGAGGAGACCCCTGGTAAGGTGGACAGAGCCTTCCACGTGGAAACTCTTTTGTGTCTCGTGGCCAGCGACTTCTTCAGTACCCAATAAATAGATTCTTAGTGATACAGATTCTCTCTCTCTCTCTCTCTCTCTCTCTCTCTCTCTCTCTCTCCTTATTTTTCTTTCTTTTTTTTTTTTTTTTTTTTTTTTTTTTTTGACAGTTTTACTATGTAACTGGCAAGCCTGAAACTTAGAAGCTGGCCTGCCTCTGCTTCCTCAGCGCTAGGACTAAACTAGGCCTAAAGAACTTGCCCTCTACTTAACAAAGAAGCAGGTCATGCCTACCAAGCCAATTTGGATCCTGCACTCTATTTAACAAGGACCAGGCGATGCCTACCAAGCCAATTTGGGGAATGCTCACAGCCCAGGAATGTCTACTGGGCAGCTACGGTCCAGGGAGCGCACTGGAAGCCCAGAGCAGGGGAAACTCCAGCGGCCCCGCCCTCCAGCCCCGCCTCCCTCGGGCTCCCTGCACAGTTGCCCGGGCAGCGCGGGACGCGGCCCAGCCGCTGTGGACACTCTTCTTCCCAAAAGGCTTCCTGGGGGTCCCCAGTTTCGCCCAGCGCCCTGCGCGCCATGTTCCGGGGGAAGCGCGGGAGCCGGGTGGGCGCCCTGGAGGAGGGGACGCCGTTCATGTCCCCGCAGCTCCCAGAGTCGGTGGCTGAGAGGGTTCTGCTTCGGGGCATCTTCGAGATCCGGAGGGAAAGCTGTGACGTGGTGCTGGGCGAGAGGACCCTGCGGTGGCGGCGCATCCAGCCCGAGCTCCCGACGGGTGAGTGGCGGCCCCCTTATTCCCACGCCCCCCACACTCCGCTGCTGCCACGTCCTCCTGCCTCCTCCCTGACATCTAAACCCAGCTGACTTTCAGCTTCCTGGCCTCCTGTGTGTGGGGGGCGGGTGTGTGACTGCAAACCAGGAAGTAAGTTGTCGTTCACCTTCTACCTGTAACAAGTTTTGAAACCCGATTTTTAATGAATTTCTGAAGAATATCACATCACAGATTTTTTTTCTTTTTACTTAAACTTACCGTCTTAAAGGTTTTAATTAGAAAACAGGATGCTGCAATTTGCAGTTAGAAATATTTCAAGTCACCAGTTAGAGGTGCCTTTGAGAAGAGTGGAATGTGGTTTACAGCCTATTTTAACTAACTACGTGATTATAAAATTAAAAACAGCTGATTCCTCCCGCCCCTGGGAGAAAACTCCTGGCACTACCGTTTGTCATAGAATGGTAAAGCCATTGTTTAAAGTTTCAAAAGTTCAAAAGTCTGACGAACTGAAACCATCATCAGGGCCCAGCATAAGCCAGGAGTGTGAATTCCAGCCTAGCGACATATGCAGTGGCGTTCACTTCAGCAAAGCTACTTTGGGCTTCAGGTAAAATGTTTTCACGTGTTTTGAAAACCCAAGATGAAGTATTTTCCCGAACCTTTGAAATTACAATTGAGGTGCCGGGTTGTGGACTCTTCCTCTTAGTCTGTAAGTCAGCCTGGGGTAGGGGATGTAAATGTTTATAGCTAGAATTTGGATTAGCCCAGGGAACCAATTTAACCTACGAGCCGAGAGCAGTCAGATTGTGCAGGGAGACCTCGTGTAGGTCGGGCCTGCAGTGCAGAGGCACATGGTCGCGGGGAAATGCTGTTCTCTAGCAGTGGTGATTTAGGAAAAATAGGTTTAATTAGCACTCCTGGTAATAGAATTTGAAAAGCTCTCTTGACGGTTTTATTGGCTCCGAAGTTTGCAAGTGCTTATTCTGTTTAATTTTGCCCTCAGACCCTTTGGTTTCCTTTCCCTCCCTTTGAGCACACTTGTTGTCTTTGCAATTAACACCTGGTATTTAGCACACCTTGAGCTTCTAATATTGGCTCCTCAGAAGCCTACCACTTTTATCTGTCGAGCAGCTCAAGAGGCATTTTACGGAATTTTTACTGCAGTGGGGGTGCAGTGGGGTACAGTGGCATTGACGGGAGTGATGAGAAATGAGAGAAGGGGCTCCAGAGCCAAGGAAAGTCTGTACCCAGCTAGCACACTTAGGAGGACATGGTGTTGAGGTGTATGGTAGAGGAGGTCTTGGCTGTTGTTGCTTGGCAGGTATCTGGCATCCCAAAGCAGGGCTGGGGTGACGAGGTCTCTGAGTAATATTGCATGGTGTAGATGAGCTGTTATCAGAGCATTCAACTTCTAAACTTGTAGTATCCTAGAGGTTTCAATGATGGAACAAAATAATATGTGGTCTTCCCCGTATTGTCCATCTTGAGCGTGATGAACAAAGACACTATTGTATCTTTCTGGAGGCCACCACTGCCGAATTAGGACAAATTGATGGTCTTTTTGGCAGGGTAAGGGAGTGAACACAGTGATTGCAGTTCCCTTATTGGACTCAAGGCTGATTTAGGGGGACCGTGGTGTTATCCTTCTCTGTAGAGATGAGGTTTGTGAGGCCCTACTGATGGAGGTGGGGGGGTCTTAGACACACCAGCACATAATTTGGGCCTTTTTTCTTTAAACGAAGAGATGTTTTCCATTTAGTTTATTGGGTCTTGTTAAGGAAGATATTAGCCCTGTGAACAGTTATTCCCTTACAGGTTAAATGGTTTGCTCCTTAGTACTCAGACATGTTGCTGAATGTTTCGAAGATGCAACCCAAGGATTAGTGTCTTTGCCTGACACCCAGATCCATGACCCCAAAGGCTGGGACTGTGACCAGCCACTCATTCACCAAATGTGAAGTAAACAATATTTTGTGAGGTGATCTAATGTGGGTGTCCTCTTGAATTTTAGTGTGCTTGAAGGAAAGCAATCTGCTTTTAACAGGGAAGTTAGCACAAAGGACTGATTAGCTGTTTACGTCCCTACATCCCAAATAAGCAGGGGAGAGGCAGGAAAATTGAGCTTAATGGTATTTCATAAGGATTTGCAGTATTATCAGAAACCAAGATGTTAAGTGAGGGTCTGGAGTGTAGCTCAGTGGTAGAGTTGATTGCTGATTGCCTGGGACGTGTGAGGTACTGAGTTCAGTTCCTATACCCTTCTGAAGAAGAGAGAATCCTTCTTTGTGTCTTTTAGGTCTGGCGCCTCTTGGCATTCCTTGGCTTGTGGGTTCCATAGCTCCATGTCTTCACGTGGACTCACATTGTCTCCATGCTTTCCCTCCCATTCTTATAAGGTCAGTTGGTGTCATAGGTCAAAGTCACCCCAAACTCAGGATAATCTCTTGGCTGAATTGCAATGCATACTATTTCCCAATATGGTTTCAACCAAGGTTCCAACAGGATCTGAATTTTGAGGAGCTAATTCATCTCACTAAATTTGTTATGAACTGGAAAGACATCCTGTGTATAAGGAATAAATTAAGAGCGAAAAATGAAAGGCTGTTGTCTGGGCATAATAACTGTCAGGCAGCAGTCAAGAGTGTATTAGAATATTCCTAAAGTAAGCAGAGGCCTGAGGACAAGAAATTCCGGTTCAATTAAGTAGAAAATATAAAGATCTTCTTGTTTTTCTTTCAAGTGGAGTTGTTTCACAGCATCTCTCCCCCACAGCATCTCACTGATGATGGTCTCTCCATCCCTACTGAAACTGTCGGCCTTAGGACTCTTCCGTGTTAGGGACTGGTTTCTATTCCCGTCATGTGTGCTTACCCATGGCTGTACATCTCTCAGGGCCACCTCTGAAGTCTCTCTTTTGGCCAAGGAAGGATGTTGTCTCCTTGTTTCTAGGTATTAACCTTCCTTTTCAAGACTTGACCTTCCCTACAGCCTATGGTTTGGGTCCTCAATATTCCCTCTCTTTGTTTCCTTGCCTCCTTCTCTCTTTGTCTAATGAGCTTCTAGATCTAAATGAATGGCGTCATACAACTCCTCCTCTGAATTATCTCTGACATCCCTCAACTCTGCTCTCTTTCTGACTGAAAGTGCACAGAAAAACGTTAGATGCAATTTCTGATTGTTCAATCCGAAGGAAAATTCCAGTTTTTCTCTTTGTGGATTTCTCCTTCCTATGACTGTGACCCAAATCCTTTGGCTTGATGCCAACAGCACCTAGCTCTTCAGTTTCACTGAGGACTTCATTCTACAGATTTTGGTGTTCCCAAGGAGTCTGCTCTGTTGTGACTCCACCTATGCTTTCCAGCCAGAGTAGCCCATGAATATTCCAACTGTTCGGAATATCCAAATTGGATGTACTAATTGCCCCAAAGTAGCTTTGTGGATGTCTGCTGTTGTTTGACAGAGCTTGTATATTGGGGTCAGGACCATGCCTAGTTTGAGACACCCACTGGCACACATTTCTAAAGGACAGAGGGGGATTACTGCATTTCTAAGGTCATAGAAGATGTGAGCCCAGAAAGAACTATTGGGACTAATAATGAAAACAGGAGGGGGTGCTATACTTAGGCCAAGGGGCAAAGTGAAAGCAGGCCTGAGTTTAGAGACCATGTGGATAAAGCCACTATGCTGGACCTTTGCCTTAACCTGATTCACTTCTTCCATGACAGCAAAGGAAATTAGAATTCGCTTACCTTGGGGTGCTGTCTGTGCCTAAGGTCAGCAATCCTTGGGCAGAAGTAGGATGAGCACTTGCTGCCATCCACGTGATGTGGCTCTTTGGGTATAGTGCAACCGAAGAATGATGGAGTCCAGATCTAGAGAAAGGAAGACAGTCAGAAATCTGTTTTCTTTACTCTCAGTATCCTGGCAAGTTCCAGATGCACAGACCTTCACTGGGTGAGCATGTCTGTGACTGACTGCTGACCTCATAAGCTTCAGTTTTATCTGGTGCCTTGGACCATGATACAGGTTTCTAAGTAGCAATTCCTCATCATCCACAGGAAGATTATCACCTCCCTGCTCCACTTTAAGAATGAAAATTCTAGTCAGGCTATGGTGGTGCACACCTTTAATCCCAGCACTTGGGAGACTGAGACAGGCAGATCTCTGTGTTTGAGGTCAGCCTGATATACATAGCAAGTTCCAGGACAGTCAGGAATACTCAGAGAAAGCCTGTCTCAAAAAATAAAAATAAATGAACTGGAACTCTATAAAAATGTTTTGAAGTGCATCTCCAATATATAACTGAAGGTAGAGTTTCCCTGTGCCGCAGCAGTCACTCCCAAATAACCAGATCAAGTCTTATTAGTTACAAGTGCTTGAACAATAACTCAGGCTTATTACTATCTCTTATAACTTAAATTAACCCATTTCTATTAATCTACTGATATGGGAGGTCAGTCTGTGTGTGGCTTTTCTTGAAGAAACTGCTTTGGCCTGTTGATAGGGCAGAACTTAGGTAGGTAGGGAAGACAGAACTGAATGCTGGGAGAAAGAAGGGCAGAGCCAGAGAGGGACACCATGGAGCCGCCAGAGACAGATGTTGAGAATTTTACCCAGTAAGCCACTGCCATGTGCAAGACACAGATTAATAAAAAATGGGTTAAATTAAGATGTAAGAGTTAGCTAATAAGAAGTTAGAGCTAATGGGCCAAGCAGTGATTTAATTTAGTACAGTTTCTCTGTGGTTATTTCAGGGCTAAGCAGGGACAAACAAGCAGATCCTTCTCCTACAATCTACATTCCGCCACGTGGTGTTACCTCTCTTTCATCTTGCACCTCCTGTTTCCTCTGTGTCTCTGGCAACTCCTCGGTCTCTGCCTTTTTTGCCAACATTCTCTCTGCCCCCAAAATCTAACTTAACCATGAGAACAGCACATTTTCACAGTGTACAGAAGGATTATTCCATAGTATATATAGCACATAAAAGTGAAGTTTCTTGATCA